GCTCATAGCTGACATTCCCCAATCGTACCCAAGTTCCCGAGCCGAGGCAACTTTGGTGATGACGGACACGTGGCCTTAGGCAAACGAGTCAGGGTTTCCTAAGTTCCCCCCATTATAAAATATTTAGGTGGGGACTCTGTATCTGGCAAAGCAATACATGTTTGGCACTTCTTTTCTAAAAATCTGTTTTCTCAAAACGATTTACCGGATTTGGACTCTTTGGTTTAGATTAAGAACCGTGACGATTTGAGAGTCTGAACTGTAGTGAGCCCAATACGAACAGAACGGGACTCATCCTCCCGGGGCGTTCGAGGACGTCTACAAAAGGCAAATGGAATAAGAGATATTATCTTACACTTTCGAGGAAATAATGGGTTGATGCAAATTAATGAATGTCACCTAGCTTACTTGCCATTACATCATGTTCTATTATTTCCATATGGTGAGCTTGGATGGGAACCTGAGTTGAAATTGTGGAACGTTCAGTATGATCGACCTTCAACTGATCGACTTACTTAATTGAATTTTTATAGTTATCGTTTGTTTGAACGACCTACAGAGTATTTAACAATTTTAAGAGGTGGGAAACTATTTCAAAAGTTTTTGGTAGATGCTTGGGCTGCAACTGAACAAAATCGATTGACATACTACAACTTTAATCAAGGGAAACTTTGAGATGAGCTTTACCAAGTGTTGTCAGATATGGATCTAGATTATGTGCGACCTGGTCAAATTGGTCAAAGGTTTGTTTTGCTATCTTCATTTACTGTTTGTCCTAGACATATGTTTGAAATCTTTCAAGATTCAATGGCTATCACGTGATACAACCGATATCCAGATATTTTCCTTACCATGACTGCAAATCCCAATTGGCCAGAAATTACTTCAGCATTATTGCCACATCAAAAACCTATTTATCGTCCTAATTTAATTGCCCATGTTTTTGAGTTGAAGAGAAAATGTTTGAAGAAGAGAAAAAAACAAATGAAATGTTTGGAAATAAAGTTGCACATGTTTTTACAATTGAATTTCAAAAACGAGGCCTCCCCCATATGCATTCATTTTTATTTCTTAAGGGTCCAGACAAAATTCGGACATGTGCTCAAGTAGACAAATTGGTCTATGCAGTATTTCCAAACCCAAAAAATGATCATATGCTTTTTGAAACTATCAAATGTTGTACGGTACATGGGCCATATGGTGCTCGAAATCCGCAAGCACTATGTATGGAAAATGGTAGATGTACTAATACCCTCGAGCTTTCACAGAAACAACAACTATGAATCAAAATGAATACCCTATCTATCGTCGTCGCAATAATGGTCAAATACATACTGTGAGGGGACAAGAAGTTGATAATAGGGATGTCGTACCATACAATGCATATCTTTCTAAACTTTTCAACTGTCACATAAATGCGGAAGTTTGTGCTGGAATGAGATGTGTTAAGTATATACATAAGTACACTTATAAGGGTTATGATCGTACAACAATGGTATTAGGAATGATAAATGAGATTCAACAATATCTCGATGCAAAGTATATTGGACCGCCAGAAGCTGCTTGGCGAATATTTGGTCATCCTTTGCATGCAAAGATGCCAACAGTTGTACGATTGGCACTTCATTTACCTGGAATGCATCGCGTTGTTTTTAACCCAAAAGAGTCATTAGAACCAATTCAATCTAAAGCTGGTCAACGAATGTCAACTCTTACTGGCATCTTTGCATATTGTGTTGCTAGTGAAAATGAATGTCCATTCACTTATCAAGAATTTCTACAGCATTTTGTTTGGCTCAAGTCAAAAAAGATATGGAAATCAAGAGAAATGGAATATGTAATTGGTAGAATGCACTTTGCTAGCCCTAATTGTGGTGAAAGATTTTATCTGCGTTTGTTACTAACCATTGTCAAAGGACTAAAGTCGTTTCAATCTTTACGTACGGTCGATAATGTTGTGCATGATACATTTAAATTAGCATGTGTTGCAAAAGGGTTTTAGAAGATCATGAAGAATAGATACAATGCTTGAAAGAGATTGCAGTTATAAAAACTGGATATCAATTGAGGAGATTGTTTAGTAGTATTCTCACCCAATGCTCTCCACTAAATCCATGTGTATTATGGAATCAATTCTCAATGCATATATGTGATGATCTTGCACATAAGATTCATACATTGTTTGCCATTTTTAACCTAACTGAGTCTCAAATTGAAGATTATGGTCTCCATCTTTTGAATCAAATGCTTTATGAATTGGGCAAAAATTTAATTGACTTCCCACCCATGCCACAACCTACTGCAAATTGGAGTGCAGTAATTGATAATCGATTGATATTCGAACATCAACAATTACAAAGTGAGGCACAACAAACAAATCTACAAATTACTATTGATTGTCTCCACAATAGACAACGGAATGCTTATAATACAATTACTTCTTCAGTTTTTCAAAATAAAGAAACTATTTTCTTTCTAAATGGGGGTGCTGGAACAGAGAAAACATTTTTTTACAATACTATTACATTAAAATGTCGCAACTTTGGGCATATCGTTGTTACTATGGCTTCATCTAAAATTGCATCATTGTTACTGGTAGGAGATCGCATTGCACATTCAACATTTTCCATGCCGTTAGATGTCTTGGAAAATTTACTTTGTGGGTTTAGCAAACAATCATTACAAGCTGAGTTATTTAGAGAAACAAAACTCATAATTTGAGATAATGTTCTAATGCAACATAGACATTGTGTTGGGACGGTTGATCGTACATTGAGGGATATTTGCGATAGTAAAAAGCCATTTGGGGGTATTACTGTTGTTCTTGGTGCAAACTTTCGACAAATTTTATCAGTTATACCCAAAGGAGTTCATAAGCAAATTGTGAATGCATCATTAAGACACTCTGTTCTATGGAATCATATACATATCTTAACTTTGGATTTGAATATGCGCTTGAATCATGAAGGCCATGAAAATGCCAATTTTACAAATTTCTTGATGGAGGTAACACTACTTTAACATTTTCCCTTATTATATAGATTATTTTAAATTAATAAATTATGTTTACATTCTTACTTTTTTATTAATTTAACTTTTTTTAGATTGGAACCAATCCTTAAAAAATCGTTAGCATTCTATTAACAATACACAAATGTCAAGATTTGAATGAATTACTCTCTACAGTTTACCCACGGTTGAATATGATAGCGACTTCAACCCTAACATTTTTAACTGAACGCACAATTATGTCTGTGCGTAACAACAGTGTCCGTAACATTAATACTACTGCGTTGAATATCTTTCTAAGGAGATTATATACTCATCTTGTAGCAAATAAAATGTCTAAAGATAATGAAATTGATCCTACCGTTACAAATAGATATCCTAATAAATATTTAAATTCATTGGATCCTCATGGGCAGCCAACTTTTAAGTTAGAGTTGAAAGTGGGTTGTCCTATAATATTGTTGAGAAACATTGCACCGAAAGATGGACTATGTCATGGTACAAGATTGATTGTTACTAGGTGCAACACTCGCATAATTAAAGCTCAAATTTTAACTGGGAAAAAGTTTGGCAATTTGGCATTCATATCAAGGATATCTTTGACACCATCTTCTTTAGAAATGCCTTTCCAAATGAGAAGACGTCAATTTCCAATCCAATTGTCATATGTCTTAACTATTAATAAATCTCAAGGCCAATCTGTGAAATGTGTTGGGGTTGATTTGCGCATACCAATATTTAGCCATAGACAATTATATGTGTCATTGTCCAGATGTACATTCTTTGATCGTATAAGTATTCTCCTCCCTAAAGATAGCTTAGATTTTACTACAAATATTGCTTATCCTGAAGTGTTATTGTAGTGTTCTATGTAGATTAAATTACATTTTATCATAAGGTAACCATTTAGATTTATTTCTATTGATTATATAACTTTTTATAAAATTTCAATTTAATAATAATTTGAAATATAACTTTTGTAGGATTGGATTGAAAAATCTATGAAGCTTAAAAGGAGAAATACGACTAGCTTGCTTCGATAGGGATGTAATAAGGTAATTTCAATCTCAAAGTATTTTGATATGTATATTTCTAACAAATGTACCAATCTATATGTTTTTTGTTTTCACAAATTACTAAATTGTTGTGCATGTTCCTCATTGGAGAGACATACAAGTTGATACAAAAACTTTTTGAAAAATAATAAGGAGGAAGTTTGGGCAAACACATGTTTGAAGATATGTTATTGACACATCTTTTGTAAAGTATACATATCTTGAAAAGCTTTAACCCACTTTTTGTAAAGTTTTAACCCACTCTTTTGGTGTATGGCAATATAATGTTTGTTTTTCTTATGTAATTGCAATTTGATTGACAACAGTAGCACTAACTGGTGTGCATTTTAATTTTAATTTCTTTTAGATTGCAGAGCACTGCTGGTGTGCATTATTTGATATTTAATTTTTTTTTTATATTTGATTTAATTGGAATTATAGAGTACAGTTTGTTGTGTATTGTTTAATATTTAATTTTCAATTTAATTTGTTGAGATTGTAGAGCACTTACTGATGTGCTTTATTATATAGATTTAGTACTTTTTTATTATTATAAAACGTTAACAAGTATACAATAATTTTAATTTTTGTTTTTTGTTCAGTATTTATAATTTTTTTTACTTGCTTTTATATTTTGATTTGCAATATTAGTGAACATTATAAATCTTACATGTTTGTTTCTTAATTTGCATTAAAATTAGGGAGAGTTGTTATTTTATTTGAGTTTTGTAGAGCATGTAATATAAGCAAAATTGTTACAAGTTCTTTAAGAAGAAAAATATTTCAATATATTTTTTCAGTATCTTTATCAAAAAATGATACAAACTTCACAAATTTCAATATAATACATATAAATTATAACTATATTTTAATCTTAATATTACTTATACCATACCTTTAAGTGCAGAAATGCGCTAGTTACTCTATATAGACATATAAAACAAATCAAAAATTTATTCCATTGGAAATGCCATTTAGGCAATTTGCCTCCGATAACAAATGTGCACTTGTAGACAAATTACAGAATTTTTATTTTTGCAACAAGAATGGAGCTCAAGAGAACTACTTAAAACCATAAATTATAACTAGTACTATATATATCAGCACCAATAAAACCATAAATAACTAAAAATCAATAGTAAGACACCTTTTTTGTGCTTGAATGCAAGTTTCGACTTCAAGTTTTGGGCTACTTAAAACAAATGATTTGATCAAATCATTAAGCACATCAGGAGAATCGAAATTTACTGCATGTCCTGTGTCCTTAATTATCTCTAACTTCGATTTTGGTCCCAAATGACTGCATTCAAGAAAATATATAGTCAGCGTCTATACCATAAAATCGATTTTCAACGGAATGAAAAAAAGCATATATGGTAGAATCATAACCATAGAATATGACCCTAATTGAAATGTATTTTATCCATGATAGAGATTGAAATTAAATGCAAGATATGAACAAAAATGACAAAATTAAAAACAGTTATATTATGAATATAAAAGATTACCTTTGCAATCGATGGGCCAAAAATAGAGGGAAGACATTGTCTTTATCACCCCAAATAAGTAGTGTTTCCTTTCAATCAAGTCAAAAACATTCCTTGTTTGAGAGAGAGAATTAGCTGAGAATTCAAGTATATATGTGTCTTGTGATTTAAGGTTAAATTACCTGGGTTAGAGTAGGGAGATCATTATCTGTAGTCTTTGCCAGTAAGTATTCTGCAAGTTCTAGTCTCTCCTTCCTGAAATTTTTAGACGTCACCTAAAAAAGAAGCAAAACACACTAGTAGGTGTGAGAATCACTCAACTATTATAAACTCAATGATGATTTAGAAATTAGTTATTTTAGTTGATTTTTTGATTTTTTATTAAAAGATGTATAAAAAATAGAAAAAATGATATGATAACTTTGATTTCTAGGCTAAAATAATATATTCCAAACGGGGTATAACTTTTTGACTTTTATCAAACTTCTATTGAAATTTTGAAAATTATTATAAATAAATGGATTTCTTATCCCATTTTTTATTAGCAATGAATTTTGCCTTACTCGAATTATTTGAATTTATGCATGTTGGTCGTCCAACCAGTCATCCTACCGGTAATTCGGCAACAAAGATAGCAGTCGCGGTTGACAAGGGTAACAGTTGCAATGGACAAGAGTTGCACCAGTCGTTTGGATGATCGTCCAACGTACATAAATCCGGGTAATTTAGACAAACTCAAATTCAATGGATAAATCATTATTTATTTTGTATTACTAGGTGTAAAACAAATGTCTTTCTATTGGAATTTGTTTTGCTTATTTTCATCTTCCGTAAAAAAAAATATAATTTTAAATTATGTTAAATTTCTTTAAATCAACACAAATTTCTTAATTTTTAAAATCACAGTCAAATGAAAATGGACTTGAATTTCTTTTATTAAAAAATAATAATAATAATAACTCAAATATTTTTCAAAAATAAGTCAAAAAATAAATTGATGGGATGTTTGGAATCATAAAATAGTTAAAAAGTCAAAAAGTCAATTATTCTCTTTACTTTCTTATATATATTTTCATAAAAAGTTAAAAATCAACCAAAATAATTAACCCACAAAACAAGTTTTAGAACTTAGAGCTTAGTATAAGAAAAATGAACAAGAATTTACGACTCACACTGATGTACTCGCGAAGGAAGAAATCTGGAATCCACTTGGCTAGATTGTATTTGTGCATCGTCAAACTGACTAGCGATCGTAAATCATCTGATTTCTGTGGACAAAGCAAATCCATAATATTCACCTCAATCTTCCTAAGGTGTTTTTCTCTCTCCTCCCCTACAAACCCCAACCCACTGCTAACGATCACAACCTTGTCTACCACCTTAGGGTACATCTCAGCCATCCGGTAACCCACCCATCCCCCATAACTAATAGCGTACACCGAGTACCTCTCCACACCCAATCTCTTCAGCCCCTCACTCACACACCTCGCTTGAAACACATCTGTTCGGTCTGATTGCTTTGTGTGCGACTTCCCAAAGAACAACAGATCAGGTACGTACAAGTTGAAACTCCGGGACAGTGTCCCCACCTAGACTCACAAACGCCAGAATATTTTAGGCATTTTATATATACATTTATATTAATGATTGAAATATTTTTTTGATCAATTTTATTTAACAAAATAGACATATAATTTAGATTGTAAACGAATCAAAAGATTAAAATTTAAATTAATAAAATTAAAATTTTATTTTGTTATTAGAGTTGAACTCTAGAAAAAATAATTTATAATTTTTCTCAATTTCTTTTTTACTATTGATTGAATTTTCTATTTTATTTTCTAAACATGATAATTATTATAATTTGATTACGGCTTTGTTTGATTAGACCTATTTTGACTAATTAGACAATAAGGACAAACAGACTACTTGGTTATTTTAGTTAACTAATCTGACTAAAAAAAGTTATATTTGGGATGATAGTAAGCTTTTTTTTGTAATTGATTCGATGATTGTGAGATAAAAGTGAAATAATTGTGGCTTAAATATAACATCTTATCTTATTAACTATTTTAACTTCTTTTTTTTTTGTCTTTATTGACTATTTTAACCAAAAAAACCAACCAACCCAACTTCCCAAACACCCCAAAATGTCATATTTAAATTATAATTATTTCAAATCAATTAAAATTAAAATTATCCCAAACGGACTACATATACCTCTATAGAAGATGACAACAAAATCATGTCAAGTTGTAAGCGCAAACAACATAGACAAAATAAAATACAAAAATGTTTCATGTCCTTTTTTCCCTCCACCCTTTGACCCCCCCTCTCTCTCATTGGTTACATTTTCTTTTTCTTTTTCTTTTTGTTTTTTTTCCTGCTCCTCCAATCACCACTCGCCATGTGTCTGTGGGGGTTGTGGGAGTGGTGATTGGAGGGGGTCTCTATCATAGCTCAACAAAATAAGATTTGAATAAAATTTAGAGTCATGATAGAGACCCCCTCTAATCACCACCCCCACAACCCCTACAGACACGTGGCGGGTAATGATTGGAGGAGCAGGAAAAAAAGAAAAAAAAAATGTAACCAATGAGAGAGAGAGGGAGTCAAAAAGGGTGGGGGAAAAGGGGACATGAAACATTTTTGTAAAATTTAACATTTAAAATAACAAACTACAACAATTTTGTTGGTAAGGGAAAAAAAAATGAAGGATAAAAAAAAAAATTAAATTAAAAAAAGACACGTGAGCACCTGGCGCACGAACTGCCATAGCGAGGTGCTACCGTAGCCGTGGATTAAGATGAGGTTGGGCTTATCGAACCGTCTGTGAGAGGCGGTCCAATAATGCATGGTGGTCTGGTCATCCAGATCAACGGTGTAGGGTGATAGATTGCAGTTGAATCGATAATAGAGGGAGAGGATGGTGTTTGCGAGAGTGACGAAGAAGGGGAACCGTTTGATGTTAGATAGAGCTAAGAGGATAGATTCTAGTATGGCGATTGTGAAGGAGAGGTAGACAGAGAGGAGATGGTGAAGCCAATGGGAATCCATGGATTTTGAGAGAATGTAATAATGCCCTCAAATGTTAGAATACAAGTGTCTACATATATTTATATATGTTTGGTCAAAAAGTTCTATTTATATATATATATATATATTATATTAGTTTTGTACCATTGAAATCACATTTTTTTTTTCTTTTCTTTTTTCTCAACAGTTGTCTTTATTAATCCGTGTAAGCAATTTAATCGATTAATTAAACGTCTCTCCAGCCCATGTAGTTTATATTAGTTAGACACATATTGAACCCATTTAAATAGTACAAGCAATTTAATCAATCAAGTAGGCTTCTCCAGTTCATGTAGTTTATATTATTTAGGTCAAGTTTGGCTAAACTAAAAAAGTACACTTATTTCATCTTTTTATCTTTTTTGGGTCACATCAATCAACATCTCATTTCTACTTTTTCTACACATAATACAAGAAAAATTAAAAAGTGTACTTATTTAGTCTTTCCAAACTTGACCTAAACCCATTTAAATAATCTAAACTATTTTTTGAAAATAAATTAAGACAAATTTCACTTTATTTCTTGTAATTTGACTGAGATGCATATCACCCTTTATTGATTATAAATATTCACATAAATTATTTGTGATTGTGTGCATTATCAGATATTCTATCAAAATTAACAATAAATATAAAACACGTGTCAAAATATGAGAGATTTATATGTTTATTTTGAAATGTTAGGAGATAATCTCACAAAGTAAAGCATAGGGGTTTTAAGTGAACTCTGACTACTTACAAAATGATAAAAATGTATATAGGTTGCACAATAAAATTACTCAAGGATATTTAAATTTTTTCACTTAGGCCTTTAATGGCCTTAAGCAACAATCCAAAAGAGACTTATGTGGTTATTTTCAAAAGATGAATGGGATAATCTAGACAGAGGTCAAACTATAAAGGTATAAAGTAAAATTTGCCTAATAAATTTATTTATTTTATATAATTTTGTATCTGATCATATGACATCAATGTCTAACTAATTTAATTTTCCATATGTAAAATTTGTTTGACAAAATTTATAAAACAAACAATTTAAAAAATGATTAAAATGCATTCCACAATGGCGGTGTTTGGCATCACGGTTGGCAGGCTATTATAGCCTCTTTTGGGATAGTAGCCCATAAGCCCCTACTGTGCAACTTTCTCTCTCATTTTCTAAAACCTGAATGAATGGGTGAATGAATGGACAACCTTATTCCAAAATAAGCTAAACGTAACCTAAAAAGGAAATATTAAATTAGTGGGACAATAAAAATTTATTTATATTTTTATGGTAGTGCAACTTTACTATGTATATGATGCAAATCTTTCATGTACATAGTGTAAGTTTTCACTGTGTATCAGAATTACACTACAAAAAACTCCATCTCTAATGTAATAATAATTTCTTCACTATTACACTTATTTACAGTTTCCCTAACTTAATTGTACGGGAAAGAAATAAACTTTCTCGTATAATCATGTTGATCAAGTCTGCGCTCCTCTGTACGTCGTCGCTTTATCACATGAAAACACAAACGTGAGCTAGCCAGCGGGTATGTGCCGGAAACCTCTCCGATGCCTAAGTCAGTAAGCTTGACCAATAGACAAAAGCTCTGTGTATTCAGAAAGCAAAGTTGTGTGTTACCTCTTCAAAGGTGATGTTTGTGAGCTTTTATAGGTTTCGTGTGACACAATCCTAATAGGACTCCTACTCCTCCATGCAGAGTCCTCCTAGGATTCATACTCCTGAAAGATAATGCTTATCCTTCAACACCCCCCTCACTGCTTAAACCAAGTGAGATGATTTTTACCATGGCCGAACTCCAATATGACCGAAGTAATCATGGTTATGCTGAGCCGCAGAGTAGGCCGAACTATCCTTAGTTCGGTTCTTCCTTTCGCTACAACTTATCTCGGTTCTCTCATGTACAAACCATGGTGTGATCAGACCGAGCTACCGAATAGTAAGGTTCTGACCGTTCTAACCACGATACGCCATGGCCGGGCTAACTCTGAGACCGGACTAACTTCAAAGTGTTTTTAGACCGGACTAACTTCAAGTCTCCTCCGGGCCGGACTAGCGTCAGGGCTCTTGGACCGGACTAACTTTAAAGCCTTTTTACTCAGCCCTTTGTATTGCGGCCCATGACGGCCCATTACCCAGCTCGGCCCAATTTTCATATAAATTACCCTTTCAATTGCCCCTTAATTCCATCTGCGTAGCGTGATAGGGATTACCTGTTTTATCAGCCGAGCTAAGGTTTTTAAGCCTTTCCAGCCAAGCCAAAACCCTTTAGCCTTTCCAACCGAGCTAAAAACCCTTTAGCCTATCCAACCGAGCTAAATTCACGTCGGGCTCTAGCTGTCCAGTCAAAACGTCTCTTCAATCACAGCAACTGAATCGCTTCTTATTCCAATGACACGTGGCAGGCGCTGACTGGCTCAATGCAGCTGTCACGCCGCCTTTGTACTCCGTGTTTTTTTTTTAACAATCCCGCCCAAATTTTGGGCTTTCTAACAAAAACAAATCCTAAGGCCAAAATCCCCCCACTTCTACTATTCATCCTCTTCCTTCTCTCTGAGTTCTCACTGTTCTTCGTCTTCTGAAAGAGCACGTGTTTTGCTGCTGCCTTTTGCTTCCATCTCCAGTTCTTGCCTCTTCATCTGGTTAGTATTGCACCTCTATCTTGCTTTCCCTTGTTTTCTTACTTTGTTTTGTGTGTTTTGTAAAATACATTTTTTTCCATGTGCTTTGCTTCTTCTGAAAACACCATGTTAGTATAATCCTCAGGTATTCATGAAATAACCTGTAGAACACTGCTTTTGATCCAAAATTACACATAACCGAACTAGTAAACCGTTTGTAGTTTGATGCCAGTGAGACCAGACTATACAACCGAACTAACACTCGTACCAGTAGTTTCATTAAGTCAAACCTTTTCTTGATAGATCTTTAGCCGAGATAAACGAACCGAACTAAGTCAGAACGTAGCATACTGAAACCTTATCTTTCGACCGAGCTAGGTCTTTGGGGCAAAGCCAGCTTTCTAAGTTTTTAGACCGAACTCAGAAAGCTGCCCCTAGAGGCTCAACCGGTCTGACTGAGCCTTCCTTTTAACCGAGATAACGAATTGCTTGCCAAGACCGAGCTATCCAACCCCCCGCTCAATCCGAGCTACTAAGCACCTTGTTGAAACCGAGACAGGACTTGTAGCATCCACATAGCCGAAACAGGACTTCTATTTTTGCTTTTGTTTTGTAGCACGGTCCAATGATCTGTGCTTAACCCCTTTGTTTTCCACTTTGCAGACTTAGGTTGCCCAGGCACTCCACTGCGCGCTCAACCAAGCTATTGAGCACAATTTTGCGACCGAACTAAGTTATACATAACTTAAAAAATAAATGGGGAAGTATAGGTTTTTGGTAGAAACCCCTAGTGGCCTGGCCGAATTCCGAAGGGATTACAACATCCCTGACGACGTCCAGCTTATTCTGGCCGAACAAGATACCCTTCCTTGGGGAAAACATGGCTACGTATCTTTCACCCTCCTATCAATAATAGAAACCGGACTAAGATTCCCCGTTCAACCCTTGATTTGTGAATTTCTAAGACAAACCAGAATATGCCCAACTCAGCTTTCCACCAATTCTTACCGTATAATAATGGGCATAGCCGAACTAAACCGTCGAGTCGGTCTTAACTTCGGTCTAGCCGAACTATTCCACCAATACTCCATTGGCTCCAAAGATGACGGTTGGGTCTACTACCTTAGGATACGCCGTCGTAGAGAAAAAATAATAAAAGATACACCGGATAAGGACTTAAACGATGATGACTTTTTCTGGGTGTCTGGCAATTTTGAAGACCAGCAAGCCCTGATCCCTGGCCGAAGTATAAACTGGAATAAAGGAGAACCTGGTATAATTACTTTGATTTTTGGTATGCTTTACTTTATTTCGGTTACATGCTCCTGAACCGAACTAACAGTTGTCTTCCTTATGCAGATTCAGCCCATCTTCAATCACTTTACAGTTACCCCAATCTAGGCACTCTTCGCGCCGCACTACGGCATCCAGAACGGAGTTGGGCCAAGTTGTTAAATTTTGAACCGACATACAGATACAGCGGCCGCCGAAAAGCGAGAGTGACCGACTTTCTACTAGAGGAGGCCCCCGAACCGAACCCAACCTTGCCACAAATTAGACTAATCCCACTCACAGCCGAACAAGAAATGGCCAAGAGAAATAGAGTCAGGGCCCTCTTGACCGAAACCAACAGACCCGAAGTACCGCCACCGAGCCAAACCCAAGAGACCGTGGTGGCGCTGCCAACGCAACAATCTTCTTCATCTCGGTCAAAGAAGCGTGCCCGGACTAACCAAACCAAGCCACGCTTAGTAGATGAGGATGAAACCATCCTTCCACCGAGCCCCCCACCAAACCCTCAACCGGAGCCATCTGACCGATCTACCTCCAAGTGGGTTCCCAAGCTTACTTTTCAGAACCGAGATATTGAGGAAACTGACTCGGTGGTTGCTGAGAAGGATCACATACTGGCCTTCAACCTTGCCAAAAGTGTGTGCCTTCCAAAGGACATGGAGCACCACAATTAGCTAAACACCGAGCTGAAGGCCATCCGGTCTTCAACTAAATCCATGATCCTGGTAGGTAGCACACTCTTTTGCTTTTGTACCTTTCTAATTCTTTCTACTTTCAGCTCAGCTAAAAAAGAGAGTTTCTATTCTATTGCAGGCCATTCAGAAGAACCATATTGCACACAAGCGGGTGTTGGAGCTCAGGAGAACATCAAGGGAGGCCATGGCAGAAGCTGAAGCCAAGACCATCGAGCTCAAACAATCACAAGCAAAGATGGTCGAGCTGGAAGCCGAGGTAACTCGCTTAACCGGACTGGTTACCTCGGCTAATTCTGACAAACAAAGAGCTCTAACCGAAATGAAAGACAAGCATTTGTGGGAGCTCGCAAAGCTTGAAAGTACCAAAGACGCCGAAATAAAAGAATTGAAGAAGAAAGCTAAT